CACTGTTGTAGAAGATTTCTAGAGGGGCTCTGATTTTTATTCATTACGTTTTAAAAATGACATCCTTCAAATGGTGGCCTCTATTCGCCATACACTGTTGTAGAAGATTTCTAGAGGGGCTATGATTTTTATTCATTACGTTTTAAAAATGACATCCTTCAAATGGTGGCCTCTATTCGCCGTACACTGTTGTAGAAGATTTCTAGAGGGGCTGTGATTTTTTTATTCATTACGTTTTAAAAATGACATCCTTCAAATGGTGGCCTCTATTCGCCATACACTGTTGTAGAAGATTTCTAGAGCCTGTGTGTTTTCTGCAGTTCGAGCGGTTCAAGGTCTTCCAGGTGGCTTACTTTTAAGCGCTGAACCTGTGATCCTGAAATTTTTAACCCAAACCAGTATCGATTTTCTATCCAGAACAGCATCATTTCGACGTAACGTGAACTGAACATGAAAAACTCTGTGCTGCAATAACAGATAGACCAGTTTTTTTTTGTTTTTAAAAAACAAAAAAACAAAACGTTTCAACAGCAAACGCACAGATTGCACCGGTTCAAACAATAATAGTAATTGATGGTATCTAAAACAATGGTATGATATTACCTAGACGAAGACACCATTGCCATTTGCCTAAGGTCACTAGCAACAAATAAGTGACAGTTTAAAATTTCCTGCCACAACCTGTAATTATTAACGCAATAACTTATCCTAAAAAACGAGTCGATTTGCCAAACATTTTCAACCAAAATTAATAGCCTTTTTAAATGCTCTCTACAGAACCTTTTCCATGTTGACCTTATTTTGATGAGATAAGCTAAACTAATATATTACTAAAATAGTTTTTTTTGTATCTTGACTGTAAATGAAACGCTATAACATATTCCCACTGTCAGTCGTGAACATTCAACAGAATATTCTAAATACAAAGCACATGGCACAGTGGATAAAGGCGTTTGTTAGATCCGGTGACAGGACCCAAAGAGTGTGAGTTCAATACCTGGTTAAGGCGGTGGAGAACTTGGAGAGGGGAATTAACAGGAGATAACTGACATCCATTAGACATGGCACGTGGAACAAGAACAGTCTACCCCAGCGAGCGAAATAAAGTGTTCGACATTCCAACCTGAAGAAGGCCGGAGCGTACAACGACCGAAACGTGTTAAATATGGCGACAAAGATTCGGACAATAGTCCGAATAACGTAAATAGTGAGAAATGACATTGCATTTAAATGTTCGAAGATTGTAGCAAACAGGAAAGCAAAAAGCTGGAAGAACGTTTCACAAGCAAGAAGTGCGAGAGAAGGAACTATAAACATAGAACTTAAGATTTCAATTTAAAAAAAGGAAGGAAGAGAGAGGGGAATTAACAGGAGATAACTGACAACTAACATCCATTAGACATGGCACGTGGAACTAGAACAGTCTACCGCATTGAGCGAAATAACTACCCGAAGAAGGCCGGAGCGTACAACAGCCGAAACGTTGTAATAAATATGGTGATAAAGATGAGGACAATAGTCCGAATAATGTAAATATTGTACATAATACCTCATCTCAGAAATATAGACAAATACAAAGCAGTTGCTGATTTGTAAACGTAACGGTCAGAAACACAACAGCCGATAATAATCTAAATGACCAGCAGTTAGGAAAGAAAGCATCAAAAATAGGGTTGAGTGCCGAAGGGCAAAGTTTCGTCTGAGGAGGTAGACAGATCCCGAACCCGCTTATGCGGGTTCAAAGGGGATATTTTTGGCCGAGCATACGGGCTCGGAGAAACCGACGTTAAACTCGGCCTTTTGCCACATACATTCCTCGTGGGGGGACTGTTAAATATAGAGTCGTAGAGCATCCGAGACGCAATGTTAACCTACCGTTCGGACGTACACTTTTAACTGCTTATTACTAATACTTTTGCTTTGTATATATCTGTTATTTCGATACACTTGTTCAACCTACCTTCGTCTTCCGTGTCTTTCTTTCTGGCCTCTAAACAGGCCACACAGTATCTCAGATTTTTCCCAAGTGTTTGATATACCGTTTTGTCTATGTAAGAAATCAGTTTAGTTTACTGTGTTTAGTTTGATATAAAGCCACAAATATGGACCACTCAGTGAGGATCAAACTCTATAGTAGTAAAAGTTTACTCGGTTAACTTGCAAATCATGACTTCACGCGTCCAAAAAATCTGATATTTACCAAACAATGTCCCTTTGTTTCCCTGAGCAATTTTTATCCACTGTCGGTCTGCTAAACCAGTCACAGCTTCACCAGTGCCGCGTTGGCCAGCATTACCCGTTTCCACCTCCCACGACAAGGACAAGAGGTTGGGCTTTTGGGAGGCAAATCTCATCAACGCCATTTTCCTACCAACGGTGACATACCAGCGCTAGACTTGGCCCTTAACAGAAACCCTTGAGAGGAAACTGATCACTTGTGAGATGAAATGTCTGAGGAAAGCAGTAAACAGGACCAGGCAAGACAAGATCAGGAATGAGGCAATAAGAACCATTATAGGAGCAATACCAATCATACAACACATCGAGCGACAGAGGATCAAGTGGCTCGGACATCTCATATGCCTATCAACCAACGAGCCCTATGAGCATGCACCCTCAGGTCGTCTGGCTGGAGAGCTGAGAGGCAGACCAAGAAGACGCTGGAGCGACTCAGTAGCAGACACTCTCAGAGCCTACGAGATATCTCTCCTTCAGACCACTCGCCTTACCGCTGGCAGACGACTGTGTCTCCCTGCGATGCTTAACAGCACAAGCGGAAGGAAAAAGCCAAACTAAACTAATGTCTGGTAAAGGGCAAGATGGCAGCAGAATTTGAGGTTTTCTCGTTTTCCAAGGAAAGAAGATCTGTTTGAATGGGAAGGTGACATCGGAAAATGGCAGTGGATTAAATCCTAGTGGATTAAACCGATGATTCGTGTATTTGGGGATTGGGAGTTCAATTCCTAGGCTAGGTAGTGTAGAATTAGGGTCAATGGAAACAAGACCAGCAATAAACTAAAGAAGAAGGCGGAATATCCTTAGGCATAGATAGCGGGGAGAGAACAATCTATCCACGTAAATTAAAGAAAGGGTTCAGTTTGAGATTACCTGCAGGGTACTTGGATCGACAAACCACTGATAAAGGATAGAACAGCCGAAACGTTATGATAATAACAACAAAGACGAGGACAATAATCCTGATGTAGATCATGATAATTCTTTACCCCAGAATTACAGACGGAATGTAGTTCCTGTATTTACTTAATAACCGTTGATACATCCAGTGATGAGTCCGGTTCAGCTATTGGAAGGGAACCGAAAACATGACTAGCTAAAGACAGGTGGAGCTTCAGTGGAGAATTAAAAGTTGGTGTTTATCGGCAATGCCTGATGTTATATATGTGGTGCAATAGCTTTGGTATTTTGTCTAATGAGTTACTGAACGTTACCCGGATCGACAAGCACCTGAAGAAGGCCAGAGAACTCAACGACCGAAACGTTGTGATAACAACAACAAAGATGAGGAAAATAGTCCGAATGTATTATTATTATTACTATTATTATTTTGAATGGGTATCTCGCATCTCGCATGTCTATTGTGAAGAGGACACAATTGTCGCATTTTCTCAGTTTTAGCCCATCACAAATATCATGGGATAGCCGACTACCTTTATCCCTAACAAATTCTAACCCTAATTATTGCTCTAGCCCTACACATCTTAGTGCAATGGGGAGGTTCAACCTTAAAGTATGGATCTCCTGGAAGTAGACATATTTTGGTGTGTGTGACATGAAAATAGAAGTCATACTGCAAAATCATGGCTTTTTGTTAGGCTTGATCACACACCTCGACCACCATTGGTTGATCTGTTTTTTACGTCTTATCAACCCTGAGTTATATATGCTAAAACATTTTTTGGATTATAACAAAAATTCTTATTTTTTTCGAGTGAATATTGAATTAACAGTTTTTTTAAAAAAAATAACAATGATTTTTCCAGATACAAGTCCTTCTATTTACCCATGACCGGGAGACGAGGAGATAGATTCATAGCTTTCCTGAGGGTATTTGCACGTTAGTGATGTAACGAACCTGACTGGAATTCAAACTCAGTTCTCTAATTTCTCATTCTGAGATCCATTACACCACCTACGCACCCCCTCTGCTATTAGGGTGGAATAAATAGGTATCTATGGACTTGGATTGGTTTGTGTAATGAGTTTTGACTAAACGACTTTGCAGCCATTGAATTGCCGCTGGAACCACACAACCAAATCGACAGACACAAAAGCTGAAACCGGCTATTGATTCGTTTTGTTTGAAGACGAAAAGATAATGAACAATAACATTCCGTTTTTCTTTACTGAATCAAAGCAACAGAATGAAAAAAAGCTGCTTGTTTTCAGTTAAAATTGATTCCAACGATTCTGTGCGTCACTTTTTCACTTGACTCTCGTCTCTAGTTTCGTTTCTTGACTTAAGATATGAAACCATTTCATCGGAACAAAGATTTTTTCTTTTCTTTTCTTTCCTTTTTTCTTTTCTTTCCGTTTTTCTTTTCTTTTCTTTTTGACGTCTGTTATTTTTGTTCGCCATCAAATTCCATCCAATATTTTTTATTTGCTTATTTATTTTTTAACGTTTCTTGCAAACTTTCATGTTTTATTTTTATTCATTTATTTGTTCGAAGCTGATGATCTTGTGCCTCTTAAACGGCAGCAGAATACAATTTAACCGAGACAGAAATATTCAATAAAGATTCTACCTTTCGGCCAAACGTTCCAAATTTACTTTTTATTTCATCATGAAATCTCTTGTACATTTTCTTCATAAATATGTTCAGTATTATTGTTATTATTATTTTATTTCCTTTGATTTCAAAATAATAATAATAATATTATATTCATTCATTATTATTATTATTATGTTCATTCTTTATTTTATTCATTATATTCATTCTTTATTATAATTATTATATTCATACTTTATTGGTATTATTATGTTCATTCTTTATTGTATTTATTATATTCATTTATTATTGTTATATTCATTCTTTTTTATATTCATTATATTCATTCTTTATTATTATTATGTTCATTCTTTATTATTATTATTATGTGCATTCTTTATTATTATTAGTATGTGCATTCTTTATTATTATTATTATGTGCATTCTTTATTATTATTATGTTCATTCTTTATTATTATTATTATGTGCATTCTTTATTATTATTATGTGCATTCTTTTTATTATTATTATTATGTTCATTCTTTATTATTATTATGTGCATTCTTTATTATTATTATTATGTGCATTCTTTATTATTATTATTATGTTCATTCTTTATTATTATTATTATGTGCATTCTTTATTATTATTATTATGTGCATTCTTTATTATTATTATGTGCATTCTTTATTATTATTATTATGTTCATTCTATATTATTATTATTATGTGCATTCTTTATTATTATTATTATGTTCATTCTATATTATTATTATTATGTGCATTCTTTATTATTATTATTATGTTCATTCTTTATTATTATTATTATGTGCATTCTTTATTATTATTATTATGTGCATTCTACATTATTATTATTATGTGCATTCTTTATTATTATTATTATGTTCATTCTTTATTATTATTATTATGTGCATTCTTTATTATTATTATTATTATGTTCATTCTTTATTATTATTATTATGTTCATTCTATATTATTATTATTATGTGCATTCTTTATTATTATTATTATGTTCATTCTATATTATTATTATTATGTGCATTCTTTATTATTATTATTATGTTCATTCTTTATTATTATTATTATGTGCATTCTTTATTATTATTATTATGTGCATTCTTTATTATTATTATTATGTTCATTCTTTATTATTATTATTATGTTCATTCTATATTATTATTATTATGTGCATTCTTTATTATTATTATTATGTGCATTTATTATTATTATTATGTGCATTCTTTATTATTATTATTATGTTCATTCTTTATTATTATTATTATGTGCATTCTTTATTATTATTATTATGTGCATTCTTTATTATTATTATTATGTTCATTCTATATTATTATTATTATTATTTCTTTATTATTATTATTATTTTTTTATTATTTTATTATTATTATTATGTGCATTCTTTATTATTATTATGTGCATTCTTTATTATTATTATTATATTCATTCTTTTTATTATTATTATTGAATTCATAATAATAATAAAGAATGAATAATAATAATAATAAAGAATGCACATACTAATAATAATAAAGAATGCAATATAATAATAATAAAGAATGAATATAATAATAATAAAGAATGAATATAATGAATATAAAAGAATGAATATAATAATAATAATGAAAGAATGAATACAATAAAAGAATGAAATGAATAAATTGAAAGTATAAATATAATAATTATAATAAAGAATGAATATAATGAATAAAATAAAGAATGAATATAATAATAATAATAATGAATGAATATATTATTATTATTATTTTGAAATCAAAGGAAATAAAATAATAATAACAATAATACTGAACATATTTATGAAGAAAATGTACAAGAGATTTCATGATGAAATAAAAAGTAAATTTGGAACGTTTGGCCGAAAGGTAGAATCTTTATTGAATATTTCTGTCTCGGTTAAATTGTATTCTGCTGCCGTTTAAGAGGCACAAGATCATCAGCTTCGAACAAATAAATGAATAAAAATAAAACATGAAAGTTTGCAAGAAACGTTAAAAATTATGTTCATTCTTTATTATTATTATTATGTGCATTCTTTATTATTATTATGTGCATTCTTTATTATTATTATTATGTTCATTCTTTATTATTATTATTATGTTCATTCTTTATTATTATTATTATGTGCATTCTTTATTATTATTATGTGCATTCTTTATTATTATTATTATGTTCATTCTTTATTATTATAATTATATTGATTCTATACTATATTCCTTATATTCAGTCTTTATTTTTATTATTATTATGTTCAGTCTTTATTATTATTATTATGTTCATTCTTTCTTTTATTCATTATATTCATTCTTTATTATTATTATCATATATTTATTTTTCATAATAATTTTATTTAAATTTTTGAAAATTGTAGTTATCAGGGAAGCAAGAAACCAGAAGGAAGTTTCACAGGTGGGAGACTGTCATATCGGACATAAATGAATGGAATCGTCCGTTTATGTAAATAAGTGGAGTGAAACGGAGTTGAGTCGAGTTAGTATTAGGTCAATTGCTATTTGTACCTTCGGGTAGTAAACCTTCTACTTCATTACTTACCTACGAATTTCTCTCTGTTATCTTGAGATACAACAGAGGCACAATAAAAGAAACTGTTAGAGTAGAAGTGGCGTTGAATCTAGCTTGTTCAAAAGTAAAATGATGAAACCTAGTTGGCAATCTAGTAGCACGCTGAAATTCATGAAGTCGGGGCACCTGGGAAAAAAGCTCATCAGAGCAGTTACCAAGAAAATATGTGTAGAAAAGACAGAGGGAAGTCACATCACGTCAGTGAGAAAGTGACTGAAGTTAAGAATCCCGATCAGGAACAATTGCTTTAGAAACCCTTATTTAGATTTTGTCAAGAATCTCGAGATGTACAGCAGGAGCACCAGACCAGATATACCAATAGTATTCAATGCGTGTACGGTTTATAAATCTGCAAGATGGGTACTGACGAAAAAAGAGTTTTTGGCACGACAAAGTGAAACAACTTTCCTTACAGTAGATGCAGCTATAGATTCGATATATTCGTTCCATTTCATGTCAGTGGAAAACGTGAGTTCAAGAAGGCGTAGTGTATTTCTCTCCTGGAGTTTAGCATCAGCCATATTGATGGCAGGCATAAAAGGATCTCTGTAGTGATTAAATGACAGCAGTTTTGTTTTAGAAGCGTTAAAATCTATAAGCCTTTTTTTGTCAGATTTGTCGGATTTTGCTACCAAGACAGGAGTAAATGGTTGCTTCATCAGCATAAATACGTAATTGGGAACTGGAGATCATTGATGAAGATCAGAAACACTGTAGTCCAATGATAGAGCCCTGATCCCCCACCCACCCACCTCGCGTTAGTATGGGTATTTACCTCATTTCCCCACTGAGACGTGATGTGGCACAAGGTCGGTTTTATTTTATGCCTATATCCAGGCCAAGGACAAAATTTACCCAAGCCTCCGCAAACGTTGGTTGCACTAACCTCGGTGGCGAGCACTGATCTCCCTCTCGGACAGCTGTTCCCCAGGGCCGGGCATCCCACACTGTTTATTTTCATCAATTGAGCCTCTCTCCACTGACGGAGTCAACCCCACGTTAGTATTAAAAGATCTGGAAGTGAGTCCGTTCAACACGACATTCATTATCAATATTCTTTTTAATCATTCTAAATTCTTCTATTGTTGTATTATTGGTTGTATGTAAATGCAACATTATTGTAATTTCTATTTCCAAGTCCTTATATTTTGAAAGTATTATTATTATTATTATTATTATTATTACTGAGCTTACCAACAAAGTGATACTGGGGTACGAAATATACGAAGCCCAATATATACATCATGACACTTTGTCTGATAAGGGTATACCAAGCACATGCATCACAGCCAAATATGCGCGACATGGTGATAGGTTTTTAATAAAACAGTACATAACCTTGAAGGTAGGGCTCAGTTAGAAATACCTTCAAGTCGGGTAACCTAGTTCGCTCAGGGGGTCACCAATTAAGGATGTTCCCCCGGTATCTAGACGTGATACTCAAGTCGTCTTGGCCGACTCATTTTTCAAACCACTCTCCAAAAACCCGACCACAATACCCATCCATTACTCTCGCTCATGAACAGAGATGCCCAATTGGTTTAGGTCTGGCATCTTATGTCTTCCTGAATCCTATTCTTTTATTGTCCTCTTTCTTTATTAACATTTTCTCAATTTATTTCACTCTCAGTTAACCCTTGCCTAGAAACAGTGTAGATCCAAGGATAAAGACCTAGAGAATTGCTGCTATTAAAGTAGTCACCCATCGAAGCACTGTGCTAGAACATCACTACTTCGGTGATCTGGTGGGAAACGGAACTTCCAGCGACTTTACTTTCTTGATCAAGTGTCAAAAGACCAAAATTTATTACACTATTGCCAACCTCACAGTAGGTTCCAATCTATTTATCATTTATCAAGTGCATAATTATTTGACAAAGTATGGCACTAGGAAGTAGATTTATTTAGGAAAGATACTTTTTAAAATATCCAGAACTTAAACTAGCAGCAAACCGCTGTGTATATATATATATATATATATATATATATATATATATATATTGGGCTTTTGATATATTTCGTACGAAATATATGAAGCCCAATATATAAAACCATGACACTTTATCTGATAAGGTTATACCAGGCATATGCATCACAGCCAAATGTCCTCAAAATTGTTTATACGTTTTGACAAAAGCAAGCTCATAACCTTGCAGATAGGTGTCCAATCAAAAATACCTTTAGGTCAGGTAACCCACTTCGATCAGACGATTTCCGATTGATAATGTTCCCAAGTATCTACATACATCAGGGCATTTATTATTCTTGCATTAATCTTCCAGAAGAGTGTGATTTTCCAGAATAAAAGAAAAAAAGGGAAGAAAGTGTTTGACAATGTTTCGACAGTATGTCTGCCTTCTTCAAGTTATCCTTATATTTACACATGTACGCATTTAAAAAAAAAACATAACTTGAAGAAGACAGATATATTTTCGAAATATTGTTAAACGCTGTTTCTTTTCTTAAAAAATTCTTTAAATCGAGTTACGTCAATCAATTACTATTACTATTATTATTTTAAAAGAATTCTTTTTTGTTGCATAGCTCTTTGGTGGTGTGGTTTTGGCCGACGTCGTTGATTCACATATGTTTTAACTATGTTTTTAACTTCTCTCTCTTTTCTTTGTCAACTTCCGGCCGGTGATCGCTAGTTGCTTTGTTTCAAGATGGAAAAAAAAAACTTCAACAAAGGGAATTTTAGCTTAACTATTTCTCTCCCTTTTCTCTTGGGGATCAGTTTCCAGAGACGGAAGGATCACATCTACATTATTCGACGTTAAGAACCAACACACAGAAAACCTTTCTATATCTCTATCATTCCCACGCTCGTTTAGCCAATCAGAATTGTCTTACCTGTTTTATCTTGTATCTGATCTCTAAAGTCAAACTGAAGAGGAAGTCAGAGCAGGAATACACTTCTCTAAGAGATAATAGTCTGATAAACTATTATTTAATATTTTGACCTTCGTTTGTGTTATAATGACGTGCCGGGTTATAACAAGTAATTCGGGGCAAGTGAACGATGTCATTTTTTGTTGTTGTTTCTACTTAAACAAAAGACAGCTATTAACGAAAAAAATTAAATTGACCTATTTTTAGGATTTCCTCGAGAGACGGCCGTATTACGTCAAAACACCGGTTCTCGTACGATCACCCAGTTCAAGCAACGTTGAGCATGGTCAGTACCTAGATGGGTGACCGGTTTGATATACTATGTCATGTAAACTTTAATATGCAGGTGATGTAATGAATGACGACTCGGGTTCCAATTCATGCCAGGTTGGTTAATTTTAGTTACATGCAAAGGGAAAGGTATGAATGCGCCTCTTGTTTCCCAAAGTTATGGGTTAATAAGTGGGACTTATATCAGTAAATCATTATTATCTCCAAAAAATTCTTACAATCAAAAAATACTTTCTGGCTTTAAATAAGCTGCAAAAGGTTGATAAGCCGTAAAAAGCATGAATCAATCAAATTCAGTCTTCTTGCAGATTTTAGGAATCTCGAGATTTGGAAGGTTTCAATTCTTTTTCGGATTTACAATTCTTCCAATCTCTTTTCGAGACTTATGTTCTGTTCCAAACGCACCAATAATGATGGGCAAAAAGTCCTCATCTTCATGTTCCCCAACTTTTCAGGTTCTCTAGCAAGGTTTTATTCTTTGCTCTGCTGGAATAGCGACATCCGCTGACAAATTTTCCGCTGGTCTGGATTGCGCGAACTGTTTGAATTCTAAATTTTCATATAATTTCCTGCTTTTATTCTTTGGAATAGTACCAGGTTTGCTTATAAACAATTGGTTTGCAGAGTCAAATTCTATCTGTTTGAACAATTCTCGGGAACCTATATTTCCTTCCCTGTCATACC